GGCATACAGGTGCAAACGCTTTTGGTATCATTAATAAGGGAACGGCTTACATTCCCAAACGTCGAGGATGCCATCGTGTCTCCGGTGGATTTACCGACGGCTATAAAGCATTACCAAGACACGTTGCAAGATGCCCTGTCTAAAGTCGACTACGTGTAGTGTGTAGGGTTGTACATGGCTCCGAGCGACATGCAAATGAGGATCCATAAAGTGGTGGAATACAACAACGAAATCGTCATAGCAACCAGCGATCAAAAGTCGGGCGTCAACCTCGATATCAACATCAGAAACGTCACACCACCCACGAGTACTGGTGAAACAGGGATAGTAACGCCACGTCACCATCCCCGGAGCCCAGTGTTTGACCTACACCACACCTATCGGCACGGGCGGTGGTTGAGTGAGGTGGTGAGGTGAGGTAAAATTGAGTTTAACGTCGTGCTTGAGAATATTTCGCTCATATGTATGTGTATGTGCGGCTGCATGTACTAGCCCAGACTTAAGCTGGTTTAATAGTGCTAGCCCACTGAGATATCATGCCGCAGTAAAGCATGAATACCCCACTCAGACACATTATACTGACTGCGAGCCGACCAGTCCTTGTTGTACCCATTAATGCCGAGCGCCAGACAGGGACCAACAAGTACCATATTTTAATGTCTTTTGGTATGACGCAGCCGGGGATCGGGCGGACGCTCTAACCACTACGCCAAGGAGGTGGTCGATCATAAAACGGCGCTCATGGTCGGTTGAATCGCTGTCAGGTTGTGCCTTATCGGATTAAAAATTCTTTAGCGGCGACGTGCACCAGACCGGCCACAGTGACGACGAACGCCCACAGGTTTTGACCGAGCCACGTGACTGATTTCAATAAGAATCTTAACAACCAGGAAATGATACTGCCCAAGATGCCAGGCAGCGCTTATGCGGCTTTGCTGGCCAGTCTCGGCAGGGCTTCGCTGAGAGATTTCAATTGTTTTTTATCCATTCTTGAACCCCTTTCTTGCCAAGAGGCGGCGGTGTGGGACTCAGTGTGGGACTCGGTGCCTTCGTACCACCAGTCAGAGAGACGACTAAAGTCGATAGGATAAACCCGAGCGCATTTAATACACTAGCGATGGTGATCCCTTGTTCTCTGAATAACGTTCTGAGCCTTTCGGCTAACGTGGTGTCTTTGTAGAGGACTCGGTCGATGGTTTCGTGAATGCGGTTGATTTGGGATTGAAGCGCTTCACGGCTGTATGCCGCTGCTTCTAATCAGGTCGAACTGTTGTCTCGCAAGTTATGTAGCCTCTCCTCAATCTGACGTCGGCTGATGTCGTCATGGTCATCATCTGCTTGTTCGAGTTTTGTTGTCTCATAAGCGATACGATCGTCGAGTTCTTTCAGTTTGGCCATCCACGAATGGTTCGCAAGGCCATGTCTAGCCCTCACAGTTCCCGAACGGTAAATTCCAGCTCCGGTGTTTCTAATGCGGTATCGTCTAAGGTGCACAAAATGTCGCCGAGCCCGTTGGAAGCTTCTTGGGCACTTTGCGGCATGTCTCTTCAATCATCGTTTCGATCGATTGCACTCGACGTGGCACCCAGCTTGGCCCGCACTTTTTGTAAAGCCTTGGAAGTCTTCGCGGAAATATTTTGTCAATAGCCGACTATATTTAATTTGTCGCGATGAAAGTAGACACCATAGCGACTGGCCAGCATGGACAAGGCGAGAGGTTTTCTCATACGGGAATGCATGAGATCGAGACCCGGAGTCTTTTTGAGTTGCAGAATCCTTTGATACTTAGGATAATCGCAATAAAAATGAGCGAGATTTTCCTTTTCCCCTAGGGCATTGTAATAATCATCCACGGCTGTCTGTAACAGGGCATCACCTATGATTTTACTCGTAAATGAAGTGTAGGCTTGTTCATTGATCAATGGGGTTGTATCGCCCCCCAAATCGTCCACTGGAATATTTTCACCACCTTCAGCCACGGTTCTGTTATATTAAAGCTATAAAACATATATAATATAAACGATGTCATTGGCATACAGACAAAAACTAAACCATTTCCGACAATTGTGGGAACCCCTGGGGGTCAAAGCCATTCGTCAATCCGTGACAATCACCAATAATCCGTGTATGATTGATGAAAACCAAACGCTGTTGGTGCAACACCCCAACCTAGGCACGAACGACGTCATCGGCCCTGGGACGGCTCGCCTGTCTTTTCAGATCAGTTTGGATTCCGAGGATGGAAAAAAAGAAATCGTTGGGAACATCGGTCGCGCCATCGTGACAAAAACGACGATAAAAATAAGCTGAAACGAAATCCTAATCATCAATGACAGCGATGTATTTTTAACTTACACGGACCTCTGGAGAACCGCGAGTGAACGGGAAAACATGAAATACCAAGGTATTTGTCCAGCCGTTTATCCATAGACACGGTTGCATGTGGGGTATGCTTTTGAACAAGCCGATCTCACCGCTATGTCGAGGAGACATAAGTCTATAGCTGAGGCGTGTGGGCGTCGATTTTGCATTCCACTCGACTTCAAACTACTGGAGGGTCACATGCCATTTTACCAAGCCACGCTAGGTGATAGGCTGGAATAAGAACTGACGTTTCACGATTATAGCCACATTATTTCACATATGAAACACAGCGTTTGGGTGCTGACACAAAAATTCAACTCGGACCTGAATGACCTCAGGGAACAGACGCGATGGGTTGCCTTATTTCACTGCAAGGATAGGGATTCGTTTGAGGAATGTTTAAGAGAAAACGGCGTGATTCCCACCAAACCCAAGCGAAAACGGGTGAGAACATTGTTAGCCGAAACGAAACACGCCAAACTCGTGCTGAAAACAGACCAACCCGTGGCTTGTACGGTGTGCTAGCTAGGGCAACACTTAGCAAAATTCTAGCAAATCTTAGCAAACTGCTTAGCAAAATCAAGCAACCTGCTTGACGACGTTTGAAATTCTCGTGTTGGTTTATCTAACAATCATCTCGTTCTGTTTGGTTTATGCTGGATTTTATTATATTAGATTTAAAACCAGATTGATGTATTATAACATGGAGACAAATAATATCCTAGGAGGAGAAGGGTGAAGATGTGTACACGCGAGTAAACGAAAAAGACTCGTGGCCCTCGTCGTGGGAGGGAAGGGAAACAATACTTGGGTGAAAACATCACCACTGATAAACTTGATAAAATATCTGATGGAGACATCGATAAACTGTCCACGTGATACGAAGCCCGATTCGGTGCTGAAATGACGAAAACCATAGGGTTGACTATAACGTAATTCTACACCATTATATCTTCGTTTCTGCTTCCCATTTCATCGGAACATCGACTTTGTTTGTGCGAAGATCTCAATGCATAACTGTTTATCGGTCACAGCTTGATAACCCTCAGTTGTGAGTTGTATCACTGATACGGTGTATTCTTAGCTTCCGTCACCAAGGCGATCATTACGGTGAAGCATTGTCAATTTAAACATTTATGTCCGATTAATTATATACAAGATGACTGAGCCGAACATTGAAACAACATTGACACCTGCGGAGGAGACCCCCCAACAAGTGATTGATACCATAACGAAGAAACCCAAGAATCCGATAAAAGTAGCCGCCGGTAAATAAGGGGGTTAGCTAGGCATCATAAACCAATCCATACCCCACCATGGATTCCATGCGCCATGGCAGCCACTTTCGTGGGTATCACCGCGGCTGTATGGTTGTATAATCAAAACGAAAAAACGACACCACCGCCAGCGGTCCAACCATTAACAAAACAATTAGAGGTAAACCCACACGTTATAATTATGTCTACCACCGATGAAAACACATCACTCTGTATCACTCAGCTACGAGCAGTTAAGTAAAATGATCATGAAACAACAAACTCCCAAACTCGATTTCAATGCGTACGACATGGGCATGCTCGTCCTAGATTTGGGACTGGCAATGGCAACCAAAGATAAGCAAGGGATCATTCCGGAAAACAAATTAAAGTAAGAATGTATAAATTATGTAAATTGCCATGATTGCCTTGACGGTCTGTGGGGCTTTAGTTAACACCTTGCGTTTTCCGGCAGAAATTACCGTTTTCCTTATCTACGAACGTCGAACGCGGCCGAAATAGAAGCGGAACGGAAATGTCATGATTTAGCCTTGGAGAAATTACAAGCTGCACAAGCCTACTACGCTAATCGATTTTATCCACGACCAACTCCAACAAGAAGATCACGCCATGCCAACGTTTAAGGACGTGGACAAAGCCATGCACATGTATTATCTCATCTCCAGAAAACGACTGGAACCTCTCGGATACGAACCCACACTCTCGCAGTATTACACCCCTTCGTGAGTTGATCTTTGTGGCATTATGGTTAGCCGCGATCGTGTTGATCGTTCATCAATTAGACTAACGTATATCTAAGTGCATATAGCAAAGATGAGACCCGCTCCATATGATTGCAAATACGTGCTTCTGGGACAAGCCGAGACCTGTGACAAGAAATGCAGGGCCGAGGAGTAATGCGGGATACACATGATGTCTATCAGAAAGGGTTTCATGAACTACACATGTTCGGTATGCGGTATTGAAGTGAAATGCCATTATGGTTTGTGCAAAGCCCACGTAGTGGACGTAGTCCGAAAACCAACTTATTTGCAACAAAAAGAAAGATTATCTCAACGTCCTGAGTGCCCTAACGAAAATCAGATTCCTATAAGCTTGGGAGCTAGGCACATCGAACGATGTCTCCCGCTCAGGGATCATCATTTTTTACTGGACGCTGGGACCAAAATTACATAGAAATAACCTCCTAGGAGGATGTGGTCAAGAACTCCCACTATGTAACTACTACTATAATCTATAGAGATTAATAAAACATATCAAAAGGAAATATGCATGAAACAAACTCCCAACAACGAATTTCGGAACAAATAAGCACAATTGATTCTATCATGAATAAACAACAAGCACATTCAGTCTCACCTTGGCATGAGGATGGAATGACCTCCAGAACCCGGTCGAGATATGTCATGTTGAGGTTTTCAACCGAAAATATAGCGTTTGGCAACATTGCCTCGCACGTTCCTGCTACGGTTGCAACAGTGGCGGCATCAGCTGACGATACCAACACCAAACTCCTCAGCTGAACAGCTTCATGAAAGATAAACAGGCATTTTAACTACAGTATATGAATAAAAACCAAAAACATGGGACAGACACGAAATAGAAGATTATTATCTGATTACACCTAACTTGCATTTGAGAAGTTTCAAGAAATAATCATTTTCAGCTCTGTACTTGAAAACAATATCTAAACACAATGAACAGAGATAATTTTCTGGGTTTCATCTTCTTTTTATTCTTTGAATACAACGTTTCAGGGCTTGTTCTGGTCCAATCATCAGGTAAAAGCTTCAGGGCTTGTTCTGGCCCCATCATCAGGTAAACGGTTTTACCTGATGATGGGACCAGAACAAGCCCTGAAACGTTGTATTCAAACAGTAGAAAGAAGATGAAACCCAGAAAATTCTCTATAGATTTTCCTCAAATAGCATCTTCTAAAATGCCAATCAAGCATCTAATATCTGAACAGTGCATGTCTTCTTGGAATGTGTGCTGTAATAAATTACTAAAACGAGCCATGGCCAGTGAAAGGTTATTAACGTATCGTCGATAAAATTAAAGATGAGATCCATTTTTCCATCGTAGACATGGAACTGGTGCTGGTATATCACTTCAAGGGTATGGTTCAAGGTGTTTTCTTAACTTGGCATCCTTTCACTATGCTGCATAAGTCAATGGTTCCAAAAGATGTTTTCTGGCATAAAATAAATAACGTGAAAAAGCACACGTTAAGTGGACTGTTATTCTCATCCTTGTGTTGGGAGGGATTGTAGAAACTGACGAGAAAAAGCGTTGATGGTGAATCTGATCACCACTTCTGAAGATTGTCACATTCTCTGTAGTCCAAACAATGGCCACATGTACCCAAGAGTTCGACAGAACACTATTCTTGACTATATGGTTGCTGAAAGAACAAACGGTGTTTTAAGGGGGTGATGTAGAAGACTGTTTTTGAGAAGAACATTTACAACATAATGGTTACCGGGAAGCTTTACTGTACTGTAAGCATATAGCTAAAATACCATTGTGATACTATGCTTCAACGGTGTGATGCAGAAGAGAAAATCATTCACAATAGAATGAACTGCGTAGGACTGTTTGTTAGGTTAGGTATACAGCTGACATGTGAGGCAATCTGGTTTCATTTGAGAGTGAAAATAAACATTAGTTTAGGATTTAAATTTAACGTTATATTGAAAAATGAAAGACTTTTAAACTGTACAAAGTAAGCAATTTTCTTGACTTAATTCTATTTCTTGTAACTTGTTTTGTTGACCTGATAGCCATTGTAGTTCTCAGCGTTTCCACTTGAATGTGCAGTAAGTATTTACTTATTGCTAATTATTTCAGCCTATACGTTTATTCCTATTAACACAACTCTTAGTGATATTTAAAAGATCTCTCTGTTAGTTAAATGTTTTGAAGGACACGTTTACGAATATACTGAAGTAACGTGAGGTGACGTTTCAAATGTGATTACCTGCCGGCTGCTACTGCAATGTCAGATGAGAGTGACACGGAGAAGGAAACAGTGTCTTCCAGGAACATCTCAAATACAATATGATTGCCCTTCGAGTCGATTTTGACCCATATACCAAAGGTAAACTCTCTAAGTTCCGATTTGCTGCCCGGTGACATGTTGACACTGACTGGACCCTCAAAACTGATATCGTAAGCTGTGAAATAGTTCAGAAATTCTTAAAATACCACATAGTTATGATTGGAGTGGATGCTCATAAGCGTCATCGCTTAAACATTTAGGACAACCCACACCAGCAAACATGTCCACATGCAAACATTTAATTGGGTACAATAACATATGCCATAAATGGCGATGAAGGAGTCATATGTGTGAACACGCAAATGGAAGTTTACAATTAACGGAACATGTCAAAAACTAATGTTTAAATGTTATTGCTTTTAGCAAAAATCCAGTGTGGAAGGTAAAAGGATTTGACTTGACTCCCCGAACCTAACATTTCTTAAACAACTAAACTACAATTGGGAAGAAACTGTAATGCCTCATATGACAATTTCATATGTTTCCATAAATTGATAAGGAGAACCTAACTTTCAGATTTTAAGTACTATTGTCAACTGTGTTTCGTTAGTCGTTCAACGCCGCACCCAGCAATATTTCAGCTATGTGGCTATGTCTGGAAATAATCGACTCTGGACAATCCAGTGATCAACAACATGAGCATTGATTTGCACAATTGGGATACGATGATCACATGTTAGCGAACCTGACCACCAGATCCCGTCTCGTACGATAAGTATGGGTTGATGAAAACCAAATCTAACCCAGATCTTCACGCGCATTATTGAGCGATGCAGCGTAGATGTTTATATAAAGAGAAAAGCAGGAGGACTACTTACAAACACATTGCAATTGAGTTGAGGAGCCAACCTTCTCTGTGGTGAATCCAATGGGACATCGTATACACAACGTCTGACCTTGTTCAGGTTGAAAACGTCCTCGACGACAAGGTGAACATGGACTTAATCCATTGGGAGACAGATAGCCTGGCTTGCACATTTCTGAAAGTGGGTTCGTAAATATCTATTGTCAAATATTGACAGTAGCTGCAGTCATGAGTGATATCTCTTATGAAATGTGCATGGATAATTCTACTTTCTACTTTAACATCCCATTGGCGAGCACAGAGAATAATGATATTGGTCAACAGTATTCCATGTTGGTGTCACAGCGCTACCTAAGTATCAAACGTCACTGCAAATGAATAATCATCTTGACCATACTTAGAAACGGAATCCATTTGGTTACAACAGCTGTGAAAATCAGTGACGACACCAGGTGTTCACGAAAGGGAAAACTTGCCTTTGCCTTACCAGAAGCACCCGCCGGTCTGGTGGTCTGATTCGGCGATCTGGTTCGTGACATAGGTAGATGCTCTCAACTTGATTGTTTGGTCTATATTTACTTATTTATTGGCTGGGCCTACATTGCTGGAAGATTGCTGATTCGAGCAAAATTGACAGCTGTCAATTATAATTTAGTGAATCTATGACAGTCAATTCCTACACTTTTATAATTAATTTCATTATCAATCAATTGCTGCCGGCAATCAAACAACCACATTGTTACAATTCTAGTCTTTATATGACGTTTCAGAACATTTCAAAGCAAGGATGCCATACTTTAACTATATTGCTTTTTCTGAGCAAGATTAATGAGAGACACTTCTTGTGAGTCTGTAAACCTTACCTTTACATTGACTTGCGATGAAGCTGCCCTTTTGGAGAGTGGTATAGCCCGCCGGACACTTCTTGCACTCAGTTGACCCTGTGATGTCTTGATAGAGTCCAAGGGGACACAACTCACACTTTTCCTCCCGATAATACATTCCTTTTGGACATGGAACTAGAACATATATCGTATATTTTAGAGATGTTTGCACTCATCTAATTGCCTTGTAACAAGTTCTCAGGCATGTACAACCATAATGATACACATACCAGTGCAGCCTAGCTAGTTTCACAATTGTTTCGCTTCCAAATGACATCAATGATTGACCATGATGTTAACAATGACAGAGTGTTTGGTATCCGATATTAACTAATCTAGTGCTAATATTGCACCTACATTCATACACTCAGTCTGAATGTACGTTAAACACTGTTGAGGAATATTAAGGAAACGTCCATTCCACCCAGATCAAATAATGACCATGTCATAACACGCAAGTCAATCTACAACACATCTGCGCTGATAAAATTCATGACTTGTGACAAAATGTATATGGGAAGTCTGTCTTCCACATGCACTAGACTGTTGTGTTTGGGCGTTTGAAGCAAACATGGCGCTGGCGTGTTTCAGGAACCTTGTTTTTCGCTGTTTTTGACAATGTTTCATTTCACTCAAACTCAACGAATATTGAATCAATTGTTTCACTGCATTTACCTTAGGGTATAAATGACCTCACCACGTTTAAGTTTATATATGACTAACAAATTATAGGGTGTTCCCATACTTTTTGTTTATAGTATCTAAATGGCCAGCTTCTTACTCCACTAAACCAAAATACTTCGAGTAAAACACCTCACCACACTTCGATCCAGAGGTCTTGCTTTTCACGTATCCATTCTGACAGAGGCGTTTTTCTGGCATCTTGGCAAGTCCTGAAGGTGAAATCCGTATGCCGTTTGCCGTGAACGCAGAGTCTTCAGACAACTCTTTGAAGACGTTATTGAGAGTGCTTCTGGCGTTGATGACTTGCTCATCATTGGACAGACCCGTTGTTTCTTCAACGTCGATGTCAAAGACGATGTAGTTTGTTGTTGATCGTCGTGAACGCCGAACACCTGCTGGAAGTGACCGTCTTTTCCTTGTTCCGCCACAATACACCTGCACGTTGTTCACGTTGCAGTGCGATGTTGATGTTTCGGAACATATGCGACTTGTAACATTTTTGGCTTGGTTAATGAAGCCCTTTTTAATGTCATCAATGGCATTGTTGCAAGGTCCGTTGTAGATAAGGTATACTGGCAGACGTCGTTTGTTCCAAGGCAAGTCAACGAACTCTGCAATTTACAAACATGAAGTTGACTTAATAACAATTTAAACAATGATAATATTCCTCTTTCAGAGAAAGCCATTATCCATAGGGTGACCACGCACGTTATTATTAAATAATCCGAATTTTCAGATCTGACTAATGTCCCTGGATGAAATAATTTGCCACATGTACAGATAACCCGTTCCACATCCACAAGGAATCTCTACTAACGGCGAGATTTGAGCTCGCTTATGATAACATACAAAAGATACGATTGTAAAGAATTTAGGATGCCAAAAGAATTTGTCCTCTACCTTCCTACCTCATCCATCTACAAAACTACTCCCACGCCCCTCACACAAAACAAAACAATTAATCATACAGCACATCACACTAATCAAACAAGCACAAAAAGCGCACAACCACCTCACCCCAACAAACATAAATTAGCATAATACCACTCACGTGTACATTCCTTCGGTAGACGGTAGACAACTGGATGCCATGTTGGATCATTGTTTGAGTCACCATAACACTTGAATTCATAATCGGTACTATCTGGAATGTCGTACTGTTCGTTACAGTGGACGTTGCAGAGCCGCTGTCCAGTCCAGAACCCGCAGGAAATAGCGCCGTTCTTTGGTGCCGTAAGGTTCGTACACATGTCAACTGTAAAGCACAGAAGATTGCATACATCTTTTACTGTCAAAATATCAGACGCACTTTAGAAATTCACACATATTTGGACAGTTTTAAACATCTGACTGTTCTGGCTAACGTTCCAAATATACAAAAGGAAATGAAGAATAACTAGAAATCAGAAAGGGCGTCGAGTTTACGGACGGTGTAAATTGTTTAATATCTGTAGAATGAGGTCGGTCGGAACCAAGTTTAGAACACGTCACTAACAACCTCCAGCCAGCTATTAGAGATAATTCAGAGTAGATGTCCAAGCTCTGTGATTCCGTTTCGTCACGCTCCGATTTTGTGGACCGTTACTCGTCTCACCATTGGATTACCTTGTCCAGACAATATTGCAACTGTCCCAGTACGACAAATCATGTTTCTCAGATTTATAAGTGTGCTCAATGGAACCTGTGAAATATAATCTCTACTTGATATTACACTCGTCTTGAATATGCTGGAGTTACACGTGTCTTATAAGCGGAAACACATTTCAAATATAAATAATTCAAGTACTAACTTCAGTCTTCACCAAAATTCATATATTGATTTCAGTATTCGTTACCTTGGCAATATGGTTGTTTCAAAGGTGGGGAGTCATTCTGTCCCCAGTCCCAGAATGTAGATGCGGGATTACTTCCGGTGTCGATGCTGCAGGTGATGTATCTCTTCCCTTTCAGGGGGAGTGCCAGAGCACACTCCACTCGACATTGTTTGCCAACATCAAAGGGAGGAAGACAGCTGGGGGTGTCAATGTATTCTCCATTTATTGTTGGAGGGTCACACTCAACTCCTAAGAAAAGAAATGCTTCAATACAATTCATTTGATGATGATGATGATGATGATGATGATGATGATCTGATAATAATAACATTTGCAGTAAGAATGGCACAGGGGCATTGTTGTGGAAATGATATTCAAATTTTCATATAATTCTTCAACGATTATCTTAAGCGTTACATGTTCTTGTTTTTTGCTATCAAGGTAGTTGGTTGGTTGGTTGGTTGTTTAACGCCGCACTAAGCAGCGGCCAATGTAGTTTATTCTGGCGGCATGTACATATTCCAAGTTTGGCAAGAGAAACCGGTGTTTTGCCAGATTATCAGGCATTCACAAATGTCATCCATCGATGTATTCGTATCATTTGGCAAGAATTGTTACTTGGACTGTGAAGATCCTGCTTGGAACTGTATTCAAACAAATATGTTTGTGGTACAAGGCGTCTGACGGGATCGGACGGTCAGAATCGCTGACACAGTTTGATGCATGTCATCGTAACCCAATTGCTGAGTCCCTTAAACAGCAAATGATAATTAAAAATTGTAATTAGAATCCCTCCAGAAATCATCTGTGTACATTGTATGCACCATGGATAACATACGTTCAACTTCAACGATGAAGATACATTGGGTTGCCTTGTTTCCAGCTGCATCCTCAGCATCAAACCGCACTATGTGTGTTCCCTCTGGGAAACTGCCGCCGATACTGGTCACAGTGTATGGAGAGGTTGGTGTCATGGTAGGTTGTTGACCTGAGTTGTCCGACACAGATATTTTCGGCCATATCACACTTGTAAGGTTACTAGCAGGGTCCAAAGTCTGATGTATCGTCTGTGATGGGCAGTTATGGAAAACCGGGGGCTCCACATCTACAACACAAAGTTCATGAGTGAAAGGCAGCATGTAAAGGAAGTAGTAGACGTGAGTACCTTCTCTTCCTTGGCTAACTTTTCATACGACTCTAAGCTGGTTTGTTGCCACCATGCTTTCTGTGTTAGCATATCATCGGACCTATGTTTACTAATTCCTGTTCTACGTTTTTTCAACATGCAGGGAGTGAACATAATTATGTGATTTAAATGAGCTATGAAAGGCACATATTGCAGGGAGGGTCAGTTAGCTAAAGCGTCTCGACAGACTGGTGGCAGGATCTGATGAACGTTGATCCAAATAATCGACCGAATCCACGAATAATCCACGTTTGTGATCTTTGCATTGTCAGGCCCACGGATTTCAGCAACGTATCGGGCATGCACCATTTTATGGATTTCTCCACATATTTCATTGATATACCGGGATATATAATTATTGCAGGGAGGTCACTCTCCCATCTACCCGTAAAGGTCCGGGTTAGAATGAACCTTCAGTAACCCATGCTTGTCGTAAGAGGCGACTAACACGACCGGGTGGTCAGGCTCGCTGACATGGTTGACAAATGTTCCCAATTGCGCAGATCGATGCTCATGCTGTTGATCACTGGATTGTCTGGTCCAGACTCGATTATTTACAGACCGCCGCCATATAGCAGGAATATTGCTGGGTGCAGCGTAAAACTAAACTCACTCACTCACTCACTCTCCCATCTACAAGTGTGTATTTTAAAATACAAACGCAAGTATGATTGCGATGAGACTATAAACAGTGACATCGGGTATTATTAGTGAACCGGGTACTGTTGTTCAAAACAACCTTAGCGCTATGGCTACCTTAAGTCAGTGTTAAAGTATGGGAGTTACGGTCACCTTAGCGCTAAGATCGCTTTGTACAACGGCACCCCGGTCAAGATGGACAATGATCTTTAATACTATAGTGTTAAAAAGTTAACTGAAATATTATCCTGTTGAAAGACCATGATCTAACTAAATTATTGTTTAGTTGCTATGCTAAAATATTGCTCAAATACATCTCAGCTGACAGAAACATGTTGAAATTTGCACTAAATAAGGGGTATTATTTATAATGTGAGGTGTAGGTTGTGGTTTAGTGTTACGAACATTCAAGTATTATGACATTGCTGTTAGATGCAATCATTCACAATACAAACCTGTGCACTGAAAATCAGTTGTGGACCAGCCTTGTTCACCACATTTAGCGTATTTCGCTTTTGTTGAAGCGTATCCCTTGTCTCGATCACATGTCAACTGGCACACGCTCCCATAAAGCAAGTTATTATCACACTCAAACTTGACTGCATTCTTTGGAAGAACCAAAGTACTGCAAGAGTTTACTGAAAGCAGAAACAGACCAGTCAAGTCATTTTATACAACGCAGAACCTATTTACACCATAGAAACCATTACACGTATTGGGTCGGTTTAAACATATAATATTTGATAATAACTGAACGTAATAAATTTCGGGACGGTAAGCGTGATGATACATTAACAGAGATCCGATTCAGAAAAAAATTGCACTGTATTTATCACATACCTTTACAGGTCGGAGCCGCTGTTGACCATCCGTTGACCTCGCAAGTAGTTTGTGCTGATCCAACAAGATTATAGCCTTTGTCACAGGAGTATCTGCATGTGTCTCCAAACTTTCTCCCCTGAAGACAATTCACCTTTCCGTTGTTTGGAGGAGGCAATATTGAGCACCTGCGAACTGATATAGGACAAAATGACAATGTTTTTGTCTTCAGTATCACAAAATAAATACAGCATGTTTATTAAATGCCTTTATGTTTTCTGTACAGTACCGCCCTATAGCTGGAATATTGATGAGTGCGGCGTAAAACTAAACTCACTAAATTCTGTACAGTAACTTTAATGTCAGGCGTAAAGTCACAGTAATATCAAAAGTATAATGCTTTAAGGATACAACTTCTTTATTTATTATGATAAATAAAAGTTGTTATCCATAAAGTATTATTCTTTTCTATGATCTAAGTATGTTCGGTTGTCCCCATCTTGCAGCATGACACCAGCTGAAAGTCAAACAATAAAGCGATGCAGGTCGGACTCTTGGATGAAACAGACGAGATGTTCGAAAATTCATGGGGCTGACGACATCGAGGCCATAATTAAGGCAATTGCCCTTACAGAAATCACCAGAGATGTTGGTAATGAATAAAGTATACAATATGAATACAATTTTCCAATCGAGAATAAAACAACGGACCAACCTTTCACCGTAAAACACCTGGCGCAGTCTGACCACAGGCCAGTGCAAGGGTTGGAGGTTCTGTACCGTATGCAATGTCTCCCATCAGAGAAAGGAGAACCAGGTGGGGAACCAACCACCAAGGTCAGCCTGGAACATTTGCTGAAAAACACAAGATATTCATGTCATTAAAAACGGGGCATACCCGTAAAGATCCGAGTTAAAATTTGGTTTCAGGCGACTAACGGGATCGGGTGGTTGGGTTCGCTGACTGTTGATGCATGTTGCGTCTACCGTTGCTCATGATGTATATATGGATATGAGTCTGTGTAATGTAAAATTATATATATATAGGCATAGTCACCCTGTCACTGGAAGCTGCCAGTGCACAGTTGCAGTCGCCTTTCCTCTGTCTGCATACTGATTGGGGTTTATACTTGGGCACCATGGACTCGGTGGGCGTTTGGGGGGTGATGCTGGAACAGGATAGTGAAAATACATGTGATATTATCATACCACAATGTGGTCAATTGCCGACCTGCGAAGATCATGGTTAGAAATGGTGTTCAACAACCCATGCTTGTTGAAAGGGGCGACTAACGGGATCGGGCGGTCATGTTCGCTGATTTGATTGACACATGTAGTCGTGTCCAAACGGCGGAGATCCATGACCCTTATATCAATCACTGGATTGACTAGTCCAGACTGGACTATTTACAGATCGCTGCTGTATAGCTGGAAAATTGCTTACTACAGTTGTTAAACAACAAATCTAATCAAATCATTTGGTTACACTGAGGGATTCCGGGTGAGAATACAAGTCCCCAGCAGCCTACGCTTATAGTAGGAGGCGGCGAATGGCTTGTGTGGTCGGGGCTGGTTTCTTGTCACTGTATGTCAATTATCCGAATATCGTGAGTCGATGCTCATGATGTCAGTGATCACTTAACTTTCAGGTGCTAATTCACTGCTTACTGCTTTGTTAAACGCTCATTTTGAGAATGTTTTAAAAACTGATTATTCTGACGTGAGGAGATTCCTCTTACATGCATCTCCTATATTTGAAAGTATTGGATGAGTGAGTGAGTAGCAATATTCCAGAAATATCACGGCGGGGAACACCAGAAATGGGCTTCACACATTGTACCCATTTGGGGAATCGAACTCGGGCCTTCGGTGTGAGGAGCGAACGCTTTAACCACTAGGCTACCCCGAACTTCATTATGACCCAAACGTTTCTTAAGCCGCCACTTACTTTATTGTCATTGTTTCGGTTTTGACGTGCGTAGGTCCATTTGGACAGTGACGTTGTACACTAAAAGCATTGCGTATTGACTTTAAGCTTCTATTTGAGGCTTGACTCCCATACTTGAACTGAATATGTTCTTTTCATTGATACAGAAATCAGTACATATCATGTACTGGTTGTAATCATGATAATTCATTTTCACTGGTGTGAGAACTTAATACTTACGTCGGCAACAGCAGGATGCATAGTGTACGCTTACTGCAACAGATATATTCGTATATTAGGGGTTACATCGAATATATATAAATAATATATAGTTGATCAAGTTATCTTACATGGATTTACTAAAGAATATATTACATTATCATTACACTGTTAGGTTATATGAACAAACGATACCTGCTAAAATAACGGACGATAGTCCCAGCAGTTTCATCCTCTTTCAGGGCCTAAAACAAATAATATACCGCTATTGGTCACTGAGATAATCATAGTATACGTCTCTTCTAAAGGAGATCCCACGGATTATCTGTTATGATTGAGTGAGTGAGTGAGTTAAAATTTAACGTTACCTCGGCAGTATTTCAGCCATATAGTGACGAGAAATGCTGTACATACACAATAAATACAAGTAGTTAAATAACCAGTCACCGACGGACTGTAAAATAACTAGAGTATCACAAAAATAGTTCAAATTAGCTAGCATGTATCTTTAAAACTAAACTAAAAACTATTTTAGACAATACAATGTACAAATTGGGCTATTGATCGCCAACAACTGAAGGTAGATCACCATACTAGGGACTTATCCTTTATGAAGGTTATACACTGGAGTAAATGTTATCTACCATGAAAGTTATACACTTTAATACAGGTTATCTGCTATGAAGGTTATACACTGAAGTACAGGTTATCTGCTGTGAAGGTTAAACACTGAAGTACAGGTTATCTGCTATGAAGGTTATACACTGGAGTACAGGTTATCTGATATGAAGGTTATACACTGGAGTACAGGTTATCTGATATGAAGGTTATACACTGGAGTACAGGGTATCTGATATGAAGGTTATCCAATCGAGTACAGGGTATCTGCTATGAAGGTTATACACTGGAGTACAGGTTATCTGATATGAAAGTTATCCAATCGAGTACAGGGTATATGCTATGAAGGTTATACACTGGAGTACAGGTCAACTGATATGAAGGTTATACACTGGAGTACAGGTTATCTGATATGAAGGTTATACACTGGAGTATAGGGTATCTGATATGAAGGTTATACACTGGAGTATAGGGTATCTGATATGAAGGTTATACACTGGAGTACAGGTTATCTGATATTAAGGTTATACACTGGAGTACAGGTTATCTGATATGAAGGTTATACACTGGAGTATAGGGTATCTGATATGAAGGTTATACACTGGAGTACAGGTTATCTGATATTAAGGTTATACACTGGAGTACAGGTTATCTGATATAAAGGTTATACACTGGAGTATAGGGTATCTGATATGAAGGTTATCCAATCAAGTACAGGGTATGATAACGCTCAAACATTAAATGAATATTTTGTATCTGTTTCATATGTTAATGATGGCGGCAAGCCTTTGCCACCTGTTAGCCATCGCTGTGTTAACAGTGTAACAAATGTCATTGCAACCGAAAAGGAGGTATCTGATATGATAAAGACCTTACCAGCAAACAAATCTAGTAGACCTGATGACATTAACATGAGAGTGTTAAAACGAATTTGTACATCTATAGCTGAACCTCTTTGTTTGTTGTATAATATATCACTGTGTGACTGTATTTCCTACAATGTAATGTCACTCCTATTTTGAAAGAAAGAGACACATCCCTCCCAACTAATTACAGACCTATAAGTTTATTATCTATCCTTGGGAAAATGCTTGAAAGAATAATGAAAAGCATATACACGACCATTTCCATGAACATAACATTTTTAAAGTAAATTCCAGTCAGATTTTACTGCTAGTTCTTCTAATTGACTCTTGAGAAACCCCTGCAGTAACATTTAGTTCTTTTGATAATGTTCCATTAACAGAGACACACTGTCGTCTATCAAATAGATAGTTACAGTCTGTAGTTAACCAACTAAGTACGTTTCCACGAACACCATAAGTTTGTAATTTGTGCAATAAACCTTTATGCCAATCCCTGTAAAAAGCTTTGAAATATCACAAAATGGCATAGAGTAAAGGTGGTGATTATCTAGGACTGAGCGTATATTATGATAATGTTGAGATGTAGTAGAAGAACTAGTAGTAAAATCTGACTGGAATTTACTTTAAAAATGTTATGTTCATGGAAATGGTCGTGTATATGCTTTTCATTATTCTTTCAAGCATTTTCCCAAGGATAGATAATAAACTTATAGGTCTGTAATTAGTTGGGAGGGATGTGTCTCTTTCTTTCAAAATAGGAGTGACATTACATTGTAGGAAATACAGTCACACAGTGATATATTATACAACAAGCAAAGAGGTTCAGCTATAGATGTACAAATTCGTTTTAACACTCTCATGTTAATGTCATCAGGTCTACTAGATTTGTTTGCTGGTAAGGTCTTTATCATATCAGATACCTCCTTTTCGGTTGCAATGACATTTGTTACACTGTTAACACAGCGATGGCTAACAGGTGGCAAAGCTTGCCGCCATCATTAACATATGAAACAGATACAAAATATTCATTTAATGTTTGAGCGATATCCAAAACTGAAACCAAATGAAGGTATCCCAGAATCATCAGTGACAAGTGGGGGAATGAGTCCCGATGAAGTAGTAACCACCTGATTGAGTAGACTGAGGTGATAAATAGTCATCAGATTTAGTTATAAAGTTTTCCTTGGCTATTCTTTTCAGATTATTTACTTTATTCCTTTGCTTTTTGTATTTGAATAGCTCAGAAGTATTCAGATAGCGAAATGCATTTTTCCTTAGACGTTCTCTTTTCTTTTAAGTATATTACGAGGGGCGTTGAAAAAGTAGTCAGCCTAACTATATTCTCGATGTCCAATGTTTCCATTTTATTTTGCAGGAATCATTAGCAAAGTCATATCCTAAATTAAATGTGGGTAATGTGGTTAACGAGACATTAGTCATCACAACATATTGGGGTATATTGTTTCTTACAAATGTACAAATAAATATGTTCAGCATAGTATTGGGTGACTTCCGGTCACCACCAACATTCAAAGATTTGGATTGCTTGATTTATATTTAGACGGGGACTGTTTTTTAAGGACACCCTCATTTTATTTTTTCAAAAACATTGTGTCCAGATATACAATATATTGAGAGCTGACACTTGTGTGACCATTCAGTATTTAGTTTGAACCCTTGACATCATGTATGAATATGTGAAAACATTAGGATAAGTTATGTCCTTTTGATGACGTCAACTGAAAGGGGGTGGATAGCGTCTCCAAAGCAAGCTCTTTCAGTAAACACGAAGGGGGAGTCACTTGAACAAGCGATTGTAGTTTCAAATTGCTTTTTTGTGCAATTTAATGTCTAAGTTTGATTCTAGCGGACTTCTACCAATCTCAAACAAACAAAAACGTTTCTTGCATATTTTGTTTCCTGAAGTTTGTGATGGATTTTATTGCAGATTTTACGTTTTTGGGGAGTACCAAGCCAATATTACAAATGGGGATCGTGGGGCTGGAACATAGCAAAACTAATTTGCTTGAGGCTGACAGATAATATGTAGAAAAATAAAACATAAAAAAGAGGTGCATTTGTATCATATTCTAGGTGAGGTTGACTCTACATGCATGTAAGTGTGTTAGATATACCCGTTAGAAAGCCATCCACCACCACCACCACCACTTTATATGTATACATATCAAACCCTCAACAGATATTTGCGAAAAGACATAATACAGAGGGCAGTTAGAGATTTTATATCTATTATATATCAAGACGAATATTATTTTCGTCATTGAGCTAAGATTTGTTAATTCTTTCTTGGGTTATCGCGCTAACAATCTTTATATTGGCAAACCCCTCAGATTTAACTTGTGTCGGTGAATCTCGCCAATATACCTTGGTACCAAATTTGAACAAAATCCATCATCTCTTTCTAGAGTTATCGCCCTAACAAGTTTATATCATGTATGAAATGCATCGAAAAACAAACACACGCGTATTTACGAGTGATTAAAACTGTTATTACAATTTACGTAAATATTTATTACATTTTACCGCTACTAAACTTATTGCAATTTACGTCAAATTTTATAACAATTTTCGTATTACAATTTACGTCAATTTTTATTACAATTAACGTTTTTATTACAATTTACGTCAGTTTTATTACAATTTGCTGCAAGTATTACAATTTGCGTTTTATTACAATTTACGTCGTAACAGAGTCCTTTTGTCAAGCCCTTTTGACTTTTCCGTTTTGGGACCCTTTTGTCATGCGGTCCTTTTGACCTGTTCCCCTCTAATATATAGCCCTTTGGATTTAATCGTACAGGATGTTGGGCCCAATATTGCAGCGAGGGAAAATGTGTCGCTTTTCTCGAGCACAGCACCTGTAGAATTTTGTCTGATGTTAACATTACTATTCTTAGATGAAAGAAAAATTGGGGAGTGTACATCCAAGTAAAGAGGCGAAAAATCAAGAACATCAAAATCATCATTTAATGATATACATGGAGCAGAGGCAATAACGTAATCAATCATGCTCTTGTCATTGCATGTGTTCTTACGAACATGGACATCCTTAAGAATGTGACCAGTGCATATAAAAAGTTTCAGATTCTTACACATTTCAATTACACTTTTGCCTTAAATATTTACTCTACCATACTATTTCTCTGTTGAGGAATTTGCGCACCCTCTAACATACATTCGGGGTCCAACCGAAATTCATATAAAACAAACTTATCAGTAACGGTAAAGTCATTCATGTTTGACGTCCTGGCGTTAAAGTCAGTTTAACTGAGATAAAAAAAGAAACGCATAATCCATTTTAGAAGGTATCATTTCGTTAGTTTAAGAGCAATTATTTAATGTCATTTCAATGGTCAAATGTGACAATTCACACGTCTATAGACAAAGAGTTCGCCAACACAACAGCCGCTTTTATTGTTGTGTTTCTGTTTACTTGAGTCCACAACATGGCGTCAAAGTCAGTACTTTGTATGTCCACCATTGGCAGCAATTACTGCTCGACACCGTCTCGGAATAGACTGGATAAGTCGACGAAGTCGCTCTTGCTTAATTCTTCACCACTCTTCCTGCAATGCGATGGTCAGTTGTGGAAATGTCTGAGGCGTGTTTTGACGTTCACGTACACGTCGACTGAGTTGATCCCATAGGTGTTCTATCGGGTCCCGATCAGGTGAGCGGGAAGGCCATGTCAAAACATTCAAATTAGAATTGGCAAGGTAGCGGACTGTGACGCATGCTAT